AATACGAACAAGAACTCTTATTCTATAAGCTTCATAAAGAAGCTTGCGTCATGTTACGCTACCGAAACCACACAGTAGGCAAACTCAAATTCACCTTCCAGAGAGCACGCCAGATTTGCAACAAACAGACGCTGTTCTATACAAGGGACACTGCAGCGAAAGTGTTCTACGAAAAACGCTGCCCCTTCATGGGTTCATGTCTCGGTAACAAGTGTAGAACCTTGCAGCAGGATGAAAGTATTCCGGAACTATATGACGCCGAAAAATTCCCTGGCTATTCCATGTGCAGTTCCACCTGCGCAGGTCTGGCTTGTGGTTGCCTAACACCATTTCCAGGCTGCCTATTCTATAGAGTTGCGCAAGTACCGAAGAATGAGGCAATATACCACATATTCAAGTGCGCCTCGTGGAATCCTGAAATCCACATTTCGCTCGAAACAACCTTCACTGGAACCACAACGAGCAATCCCTTGCAGTTACACCCATACGTGTCAAAAATGATAGATGGATGGGACATCAAGGTAACATCACTGCAACATATCATACATGCCGCTCTAAGTAAGCGCTTCGCAGAATCCGCAGCGGGATTCAAAATGCTAGGCGATGCATTCAAAATCGCCGTCGAATGTCCAGATGAGAACACTGCTAGAAAACACTTCGCCAATTGTTCAAATGAGGTGGTTTGCTCGTGTAGTCACACAATGGCGGCCGCACAATGCGTCTGCCCTCAAAACAGTTTTCAGGAACCGCAGAACTCCACCACCAACTTGCCAGCCATAGAGCCTCACCTAAACATTACTGCTTCGGAAACAGTGATGATTGACACAGACGATACCGAGGTAACATTACTCGTTACGTCAAAAAACCAATTCCAAATGGCACAGGTGGTGGTAGATCCTCCCTGCTCCATGCATGCAACAAGCATAACAGGGTGCTACGACTGCTCGGAAGGAGCAAAAGCCACAGTGTACTGTCGCTCAGATTCATCCAGCGATATAACCCTGGAATGCACAGACCAAACATTCCTTATCGGCTGCTCGAAGCAGACAAAGCCAAATGTCCTAAAGCTTCAATACGATCATGCTGATGTAAAAGACATTTGTTCATTTCGATGTGGAGGGAAAACCTCCAAAATCGACTTATCTGGTACTCTTTTTTATCACACACCCACGTTAGATCACGAAATATTTGAAGGTGATACAAAAAGAACAGCCAGTAATGGAAATTGGTGGAATAATCTCGCAATTCCAGACATCAGTCCTCTTCTTGGCACGATAACTAAGCACTGGAAAATAACGGCTGCGGTTATCGGCGGTTTTACAGTAATCGGACTACTTGTATACTTCCTTGGACCTACAGTAATAATCGCCATAATCCGTATACTCACCGCCATCATCCTTGCACTCCTACGAACCTTCTTCGAGTGCGTCACCAATCTTCTCTCCCTCTTGCGTCGATATCGCAACGAATAACACATTCACTCAGCGGGCCTTGGCTCCGCGCCAGTGCTTGTC